TGTATTTATTTGTTGTTATCTCATGCAGGCCATGTAGTTATACATCAACCTGAACACCTAAATTCGCTCAATCATATATCAACTGTCAATCAAATTGTTTCGGTCATAGCATCTTGATTCATATGTTGCAGCTAATATACGCAACGGTTGAAATAAAAATCATTTCCTTTCCCATTGAGTTCCGTCCCAGTGCTCTTGGGGATGGACGTCTGTGTCTTCAGCAGGCGTAGAGCTAACAGAACTGGAGAAAGGGCTCAAACATGTACGGCTGTAAGCCTTCTACATCAAACCAAGCTTCTGCCGCCCTGGCGTCCTCTTCCACAACATCTTCATCCTCGTTTTCCTCCTCTAAATAAAAAAATGTATGATGGAGGAGACTCATCTTCGACCTCCGACACAAAACTCTCATCCCAATTTAATTTTTCATTGGGAACCTACAAGCACTAAGTTGGCAACTAGCAACAATCAAACTTGCTGGCCAACCTTCCGTCAAAACAATCCTGCCCCCTTGATAAACAACCAATTAAATCAACTTTATTCACTCGTGTAAACTTATGCACATCTCTGGAGGATTCGGGATAAAAAGTTGGAGCAGCCCTTCCTTATTGCAAAACTTTAAAAAGTTTCACCGCTTTAAGCCTCATAAAGAGCCTCAGCATCACTTACAGTTGAATTATTAGCAGCTATATTTAACAGCAAAACTTAGCACAAGTGTTTCAATTTACCTGAGGGGTGTCTGCAGGTTTCTCCTCTAAAGCTGCAGAAATCTGTAACACAGACACGTTTGTCAAAAGACACACGAGAAACAAAGACGCTTCCATTCAACCAAGTCTCTATGCAGGGAGTTACCTTTAAGGCGACCTCCTCTTTGTTGTAACCCAGGAGCTCCAGGTATCTGCTGCGGACATCGCTTTCAAAATTCACCTGACAACAAGAAAACAGCCCCCTGATTCCCAGCAGACTGTTTGTTTCTAGCTTCTTCATTTAACAACAGAACTATTTGAAGATCGTACCTTCAGGAAGGACCAGACTGTTCTCTCAAACTCGTTGTCAGCTGCACTGATCTTCTCCTGGCAGAAGTCCACAAAGCTGCCTGAGCTCAAGGTGGCCTGCAGCTGATCGGAGCGCTTCAAAAAGTCAGTTTCTGTGACAACCTGACTGATGTGAACAACATGGGATCCTTGCTGCTGAGGCTGCGGAGGCTTTGCGTTCTCCAAAGAGACCAGCTTCCCTCCAAACTGGGAGGAAACAAGAAAAAGCAGAGTGTGAATATTTACCCGCTTACCCCAAAACTGTGACGGCAGATGTAACTCACAGCAAAGGAGGCTCCCACTGGCCTGCGGATCCACTTGGGGGGCTTCTTGAGGGGGTTGACTGTAGCTGGAGCAGTGGCAGCCTGAGGCAGCTGCAGCGGAGGCAGCGTTTGTCCCGTCCCAAATGGATCCATGTTCCCAAAGGAGTTGCTGATCTGAAACAGGGGAGACAAGACAATGAAACCACTAAGTGGGAAACGCCTCTCTCCACCTCCACTCCAGCTGGAACCACTTTCTGATTCTCACCTGTCACCTTATGTGCACACATTTGCTAAGAATCACCTTTCAAAGGAGTATGTCTAGTGATGAAGTTAGTAACTCATAACTTTCTAAGGCTGTTTTAAAGAAAACTTTTTGGCAAAAAGTTGTCTTCAGGTACATGTTAAGCCTCAGAAGACAACATAATTGGCTTACTTTTATTTACGGTACAAGGCCATCCTGGGTAAACTCCCTCCATACCTGTGTCACCTCATGTCTGTAGCTAACAGTGGTTACAACTCACGCTCTTCAAGTCGTGTTCTTTTCACTATTCCCAGGATCAACACAGACCTTGGCAAAACATCATTTTCCTATGCAGCACCATGGTCGTGGCACAATATTCAAAACTCCCTGCAATTACGGACTCTTATTCCGCTACAGCATTTTAAATGCTGTAAACCGCTTGCACAGAGAATTGTAACTGTTATTCTAGAGTCTAGTTTATGATTGATTTTATTATGTTGTTTTTATGTGTTTTTATATTCAATTCAATTCAGTT